AGTTGTAGCTGTTTCAAATAGTGGCTAATTCTCTGTTGAATTCTTTGCTGCAGACTCTATGGGTTTATTCTGGGACTCATATTAGGACTTATCAGAGGGGGTGATGTCTGAGCATGCTCCCCACCATTGGAAATGTAAAAACACCCTTAATATGGCAAGCTCCTGAATCTCTGTGATACTTATCTTCTACTCTGTTATGTGCATGTGTCTTATCAGAGAATCCAGGGTCCTTGACATTTTCTGCTTAAGCACTCTAATTCATATGGTGACATCGATGTACTGGATCAGTGTGATAGGAAGCATCTAAATGATCCAGGTTGTTTCAGTGTTCTGTGACAGAGCAAAAAGGTAAATGTAACCTACACACAGTCCTTTTATGTGCACTGCTGCCTACCCTAGTTGGCTGACAACTGTTATCTTGATAGCGATTAACTGAAGAGAGCACATCAGTGAGAATAATATTCACATAGTAAATATTAGACACCTTGACTGTTTTAGTAAAGATGCCTAATCTGGCACAGCAGTTGTCGGGCTACAATATTATTAAGTAAATGAATGTATAACCAAACATAATAAAACAGATCCCAGTGTATTGTTTGAAAATTAGGACAGACATTAAAACTCTTAGGATTGCTACCTAGCAAAAGGCATATATTATGTAGTAAGTAGAGGCCTGGTGCATGAAATTTGTGCATGGGGTAGGGATGTGGGTGGGGGTGGGGGATGTCCCTCAGCCCAGCCTGCACCCTGCAGCAATCTGGAACCCCTCAGGTAGTGTCCTAAGGCCTGGCCAGCGATCAGGCCTATCAGGGTTTTCTTTCCTCCCAGCTGCAGGCAGCTGGCCCCGCCCCTGCTGCTGCCACTACTTGCCATCTGTGTGGTGCTACCTCCCCCTCCCCTGCCACCAGTCACCCCCCTCTGCAGGCAACATGTGTGGGGTGCGATTGCTTGGCTGGACTTGGCATCCCTCTGCAAGGCCATCGTGGGGCGATGGTGGGGCTCCCCAATCAATTGCGTCGCACCTGCCTTGGCTGGCTTGGCACCAGTGTGTGTCTGTCATAGCGTGGTCATCAAAAAGGTGGTCTGGACGGTTGTTCTGCTATTCAGTGGTTTTGCTGTTTAGTCATTCAGTCAATTTGCATATTATGCTTTTATTATTATAGATTAGTTAGACATAGCAACCAAAAACATCTTGGATTTTTATACTAAAAATGTCATAAGAATAGGGCTCCTTGAAAACATTTCATTCAAGTAGAACTATTGGTCAGACATTAAAAGGTTAGGGAGTGATCTGAGTGTTTTATAGTTACTACAAACTATAGGAGCACACATAATTACCTCAGGAATAAGAAGATGCTGGGCTCTTGAGTCTCTGGCCCCTTCAGGGTCAGCAAGGCAGTCTTTCCCTGGGGAAGCTCAAGCATAATTCTACCTTCTGAAAGCCAGAGTATAACAGACTCAGACAGATAGAGCTGGAAATAACCCTTCCTGGCAGAGATCACTGTCTCCATCCTGTAAGTCTGGCTCCACCAGAATGGGAAGGCACTAAGCCACCACTGTGGTATTGGACAGCTGGCTAGAGCAGGGACTGTGGTGGGACTAAAACCGGGCTTTCAACTGGAAAAGCTGTAGGATTGAAGTTGAGGATAGGAGCTTGAAGGGAAAGTAGGGGAGAAAAATGACGGGGCTAGATACAGATGGCTGTGCCAAAGCAGAGCCCAGACTTCTGTGTGCTCTGGGGAGAGTTTAGGTCCAAGTGGAGGCTCAAGGATCTGTGGCAGAGTATCATGTGGGCGATGTCTTGAAGGGCCTTAATCATACTCTTACGGGAAAATGAAGAATGCAGATTTAAAAGGGAAAAAGGATTCCCAGTCACACACCCTTGATTATCATTACTAAGAAATCTTGACTAGTCTGCCTTTCTCATTCCCTAAAAGCACTCTGGTCCCTTTCTGATCTTTTCTTTACTTCCTTGTCCTTTCTATTTATATCCAATCTCTTCTGTTTTGATTTCAGTTTTCTCTTTTCCATCTTCTCCCCACCATCTATTTCCTGGGCATGTATGCTTCTGTTCTCCCCATTCTTTCCACTCACTCTCTCAGCCTATCCTCCACCTATTGGCTTAGATTCACTCCACTGTTAACAGCTTCCTCCATGCCAACAGAGGTACCCAGGGAAGCAAGCTTAGATTATTGTGTTCCACTCAATAACTTTCTCTGCTCCCTTCATCATTATTACATTCCTTACCCCTCTTTTGCCTCCAGGTCCTATTGAACAGGTTTGACATCAGAAATACTAATTTTTTAAGATTAAGACAAATTCATAGCCACCTTCTCTATACTCTTAATTTAATGCCCAAAAAGGTAACAGAAAAGTCTCTGCCTAGATGTGGGCCCTGTAGTCACAAAAAGCAACAATCTTTTTTTTAAATTGTTTTATTGCTTATATTATTACAAAGGGTATTACATATGTGTCCTTTTTTTCCCCCCCGCCCTTGACAATCCCCTGGCCCCCTACCCCCCAGTGTCTTATGTCCATTGGTTATGCTTATATGCGAGCATACAAGTCCTTTGGTTGATCTCTTACCCCCCTCCCTTCTGTCCCCCAACCCTCCCCGGCCTTCCCGCTGCAGTTTGACAATCTGTTTGAGGCAGCTCTGCCTCTGTATCTATTATTGTTCAAAAGTTTATAATGGTCTCTATTATCCCTG